TCCGGCGCTGCAGCTCCTGCACGCGCTCGTCCTGGGACGGTGTGGCCTGGGCCTCCGCTGTCTTCTCCCGCCCCCTGGGCGTGCAACAGGGGCCTTAGCAGGGGCCATACCTGCCGCTGATGGAGTGGTGGGCGGGGAGAGGCGCGGCCAGGACCTCTCCGCAGGGCCTCTGGGCCTCCACCTTTTTGCTAACATTTTAGGAAAGCATCCCATGTGCATGAACCGTGTGTATTTGGACGGTGTGGCCTGGGCCTCCGCTGTCTTCTCCCGCCCCCTGGGCGTGCAACAGGGGCCTTAGCAGGGGCCATACCTGCCGCTGATGGAGTGGTGGGCGGGGAGAGGCGCGGCCAGGACCTCTCCGCAGGGCCTCTGGGCCTCCACCTTTTTGCTAACATTTTAGGAAAGCATCCCATGTGCATGAACCGTGTGTATTTGGGGTAAAGGGAGCGCTCCCCTTTACCTTGTGCCCCCCCCCCACTTGCCTAGAAGTAACACCTGGGACTTGGTGCTGTCTCTGCCAACCTTCCCGCACCATCCAGGCCACTTTCCTCTTCAAGGGAGACGCCTTACAGCACTGGTTCTCAACCTTCTGGCCCTTTAAATACAGTTCCTCATGTTGTGACCCAACCATAAAATTATTTTCGTTGCTACTTCATAACTGTCATGTTGCTACTGTGATGAATCGTCATGTAAATATCTGATATGCAGGATGGTCTTAGGCGACCCCTGTGAAAGGGTCGTTGGACCACCAAAGGGGTCGCGACCCACAGGTTGAGAACCTCTGCCTTATAGGCTGTTGGCTGCCGCCTTCCCTTCAAGGGCACATCACAGCCCCCGGGCCTTGGCAGGTGCGGTTCCCCCGCAGCCACCCTGCTGCCTGCCTGCCTGCAGCCGGACCGCCCACTAACACGCCCCAAACGTCCAGCCAGTGTGGGCTCGGTGGTTGAGGTCGACCTATGAACCAGGAGGTCACGGTTCTATTCCCGGTCGGGGCACATGCCTGGGTTGCTGGCTTGATCCCCAGTGTGGGGCGTGGAGGAGACAGCTGATGAATGATTCTCTCTCATCATTGATGTTTCCCTCTCTCTCCCTCTCCCTTCCTCTCTGAAATCAATAAAAGTATCTTTAAAAATAAACAAATAAATAAATAAATAAAACGTCCCTAATGAACTAATACCATGGGGTTGGCTCCATGCAGGCGGCTCCAGGAGCTGTGCGGAGCCAATCCCATGGCATTAGTTAGCAGGTTTGGACACCTCCACCCCACCTATCACTCCATCACCGGTGGGTAAGGCCCCTGCTAAGCCGCCCTGTTGCCGGCCCAGGTGGGAGGAGAAGACTGTACTTGGGGGGCTGTAACCAGACTGTACTTGGGGGGCTGTCAGGGCGGCTGGGAGGGTGAGGTCTCCCGGCGCACGCCACCTTGGGGAGCTGCAGCGGCTGTCCCAGGCCTCCTCGAGTCATAACCGGGGCCACAGACACTCGGGACCACAGCACTGGATCTTCGCTGTCCTTCCGTCTGCCCACCCGCCCAGCTACGCTCAGACACCCCCTCTGGAGCTGTGTGTGCCAGCCCCTGAGCCAGGCTGTGCTCTGACAGAGCTGGGTGCCACCTCCCCCGGGCAGCCTGGCTTCCCCACGGGGTCAGGCCAGGGCCTGAAGGCCAGCCCATCCCGGGCTGACACCAGCCGCTGCCTGACCGAATGCCATGGACAGTCACCACAGGGTTCCCCAGACGAACGAAAAGGGGTCCCGCACATGCTCTGGGGAGAGGGGAGGGGGAACAGGGGGCCCACAATCCCATGCCGTCGATGTCTCAAAAGGGAAAAGTTCCGCAAACAACTCAGGACCCCGGCGGCGGAACAACAGGGTATCAGACTCGGGGGCACCCTGTTAGCCTTCCCGGCGGGGCCGTGTGCTGCGCTATGCAGGCCAATGGCTCTTTTTCAGAAGATGCGCCCCAAAGTGCTCAGGACAAAGTGTCAGCCGCCTGCAGTGCTTCCAGACGGTTCTGCAGAGGGAGGTAGAGCCAGCTCGCTGGCCGGGGCACTCGGCACAGGTCGGACCATGACCCAGATGCGAAAGGACCGGATCTAGGTCACGGGCGTCGCGCCATCACCGGTGATTTCCTCACCTTCTCTGTGTGCCTGCGGCTCCTCGGCTGATCAAACAGCCGGGGTGGAGGCACTGCCCAGGCCGCGCGCGCGCGCGTGTGTGT